GAGGAGGAGGAGGAGGAGGAGGAGGAGGAGGAGGAGGAGAAGAAGAAGAGAAAAAAGAGGGGGAGAAACCGGCTGAAGGGGCAGAAGCCTCGGTAAGACCCAAGGAGAGGAGGATTAGAAGTCCACGTCGACATTCTCCAATTGGTACACAGCTGTGGTACAGGCGAAGAGGATATCAACAGAATAAGAAGAACAATGGATAAAGGGAAGCTCAAGATTTTAACGGTGAATATCAATGGATTAAATGGACCACAAAAAAGAAAGAGAATATTTCATCAGTTGGGGAAGCAAAACTTGTATATAATTGGGCTACAAGAAACACACATTCGAGAAAAAGATGAGACAGTAATGCAAAATAAGAAATTGGGAAAAACTTTTTTAGCCTCAGATAAAAATGAAAAAAAGAGAGGGGTGGTGATAATTGTTAAAGAGAAACTCCTTCCGGAAAAAGTGTACTCTTCAGAAGATGGAAGAATTTTAATGGTGGAAATCCAAAACCAGAACAAGAAGATATTAGTAATAAATATATATGCACCAAATCAAGATCAAGAAAAATTCTATAAGGAGCTTCATGAGAGAATAATTGACCAGGACAACATTAGCCATGATGGACTGACAGTCTGATTCAGTCCAAGGCAGCTTCATGTGTGTCCAGGTGAAGCAGCAAGCAGTCCTGTAATGGAGTGAAAAGGAAATTAAGGATGGGTGGGGATCCACAATGCCATTTGGTACAGACATGACAAGAGTATGACCTGTGCGTGAATAATACATGGCACTGTCAGAGCCGTTGCTGACAACTAGCATATGTAGTTTTAGTGCTGGGCAACAGAACACAAATCTGAAAGGAAGCTGGGTGTGAGGGGGGAAAGGCACATGGGAATTAATACGTCAACATTAACGGAACTCCAAGCAGTCTCTGGTGTGTTCTCCCAATCAGTCTTAGAGGTTTCAGAGGCAAGAGTTCCCGGCTAAGATACTTGCGCCAAACAGCTGGAAGGGCCACAGAGTCCATCTCAAATACTTCATCTGCTACACTGCTCATCCTCCTGAGCTCTTGGTGACCTGTGGACTAATCTAGGGTGGATAAGCATGGTCTTTTGTGAACAGAAGGCCTTTCAGATAGGTCATTCCTCCTACATGTAGATAATTACCAGGATTCCAGTCCAAAATGGCGTCTTGAAATGAATGTCATAGAAATAATGTTCATTCGCCACGTCTATCACAAGCCCAAAAGCGATTTCCAAGATGCCGGTGAATATTTGGGTGATCTGCCAAGACAGGACCAAGAAGAACATTAGCTTCATTGCATGTTGACTGTGTGGATCACAACAAACTATGGCAGGTCCTTAAAGAGATGGGAGTACCAGACCCCCTCACATGTCTCTTGAGAAACCTGTATAAGGGTCAAGAAGCGACAGTTAGAACCGGATATGGAACAACTGATTGGTTCAGCATAGGAAAAGGAGTACGACAAGGATGTATATCGTCACCTTGCTTATTTAATATATATGCAGAGTACATCATGCAAAATGCTGGCCTGGATGAATCACAAGTGGGAATTAAGATTGCTGGGGAAAAGATCAACAACCTCAGATATGCAGACTATACCACTCTAATGGCAGAAAGTGAAGAGGACCTAAAGAGCCTCTTGCTCAGGGTAAAAGAGGAGAGCGCAAAACTGGGCTTGAAGCTCAACATCAAAAAAACTAAGATCATGGCATCGGGCCCCATCACTCCTTGGCAAATAGAAGGGGAAGTCGTGGAAGTAGTGACAGACTTCACGTTCCTGGGATCCCAGATCACCGCAGACTGTGACAGCAGCCATGAAATTAAAAGACACCTGCTCCTTGGGAGGAAAGCGATGGCGAACCTAAACAGCATGATAAAAAGTAGAGACATCACCCTGCCAACAAAAGTCCGCATGGTCAAAGCAATGGTATTCCCGGTAGTCATGTATGGCTGCGAGAGTTGGACAATAAGGAAGGCCGAGAGCCGAAGAATAGATTCTTTTGAACTATGGTGCTGGAGAAGACTCTTGAGAGTCCCTTGGACTGCAAGAAGATCAAATCAGTCAATCCTAAAAGAAATCAACCCGGACTGTTCCCTGGAAGGCCAGATAATGAAACTGAAGCTCAAATACTTTGGCCACCAAATGAGAAGGGAGCACTCACTGGAGAAGACCCTGATGCTGGGAAAGATTGAAGGTCAAAGAAGACGGCGGTGGCAGCAAAGGATGAGATGGTTAGACAGTGTCATTGATGCAACGAACATGAAATTGAGCAAACTTCAGAGGACGGCGGAAGACAGGAAGGCCTGGCGGGATGTGGTCCATGGGGTCGCGAAGAGTTGGACTCTACTGCGACTGAACAACAACAACAACAATGTTGGTGGTCCACCATTGTCCCATCAAAATGAGTCAGATGCGAGGAACATTTAGCATAGAGTGCTGGTGATGTAAAGAATCTGGGGCCAATGTTAGGCGTGTTTGTAGACATTAAAAATGTTTCAGAATGTATATAGAATACAAACATTACTGGTTAGAAAGGGGCATTTGACTCACCAAAACTGCTTTTAAGTCTGGTCTGGATGGCCCCAGTTAGCCCAGTCTTGTCATGGCTCAGAAGCTAAGCAGGATCAGCCCTGGTTACTACTCGGATGGGAGACCACCAGTGAAGCCGAGGGCTGCTACACAGAGGCAGTCAATGACAAACCAACTCTGTTAGTCTCTTGCCTTGAAAACCCTACGGGGTCATTCACAGTTGGCTGAGACTCAATGGCACTTTCCTCCACCACACTGCTTTGCAGATATATGAACCTAGAGAAGCAGTTTGTGTGTGTGTGTGTGTGTGTGTGTGTGTGCGTTTGTGTGTTCGCTTTCATAAGCCATCCCCAGAACAGACAAAAGAACATTTGCAGAGAATAAGGAAATGAAAATGAGACGCAAACTGATGCTCTTCCGGCATCCCCTTCTGCTTTTCTTCCATGTAATCTGCCACAAATTTCTTACTGTAATCTACAACTAATTTTTCAACCTCAGATTATTAATATTTTGGTTTGGGCAGGGGCAGACCTAATGTCACACTGAAAGTAATATTCACTCTTGGCCTAGCCAGCAGCACATTCAAATGAGCCCCATCCAGGAGTTAACCAGGCCGAAGCCTGCTCAGCTTTGAACAACAGGAGCATTCAGGAAGGTATAAGCCTTAGATCCCATTCATGTGAGTCTGCGTGAGTCACTGTGCGACACACACATCCTAACTGGATGGCAGCAAGCCCAGAGAGCAGGGACTCAAACCGAGATCCAACATCCAGCTTTCCCTGGGAACAGGTCCCTGTATCAGGAACAATGGAATAATTCAATTGAACCCAGTGCAGGGACATGGAAGAATTATTCGACCCTCACAGAAAACGACCAGAAGGAGACAAGGCAGTTAATCTTTCAGAGAAGCAACAGAAGGCCCACACTGTAGGAGGCTGGAGCTCATGGGAAATTTTTAGTAATCTTAATGGCAAACTTTGGCATCCAATCAAGTTGAGCTGCGGTGGCTCAAGTGGTTAAGACGCTGAACTGCAGGCTGTGGAAGGTCAGTAGTTCAGCAGTTCGAGACCCAAGTTGCCGCATGGCAGAGTGAGCTCTCATCTCTAGTTCCAGCTCCCGCCAACATAGCACTTCAAAAGCAAGATATTGCAAGTAGATAAATAGGTACCACTTTGGTGGGAAGGTAACAGCGTCCCGTGCACCTTGGTGCTTAGTCATGCCAGCCACATGACCACGGAAACGTCTTTGGACAGCGCTGGCTCTTCGGCTTTGAAACGGAGATGAGCACCGCAACCCTAGAGTCGGACTCGACTGGCTTTCGAGCAAGGGAACCTTTACCTTTACCTTACAAGTTAGTTAATTACTACTTAATCCATTCCTTTCTAGGGTGCTCAATGGTTATTTTATATTTTAAATTGTTTATTTTTTATTGATAATATATAATGGGTTTGTGATCTTATGGTTTGATTAATATGCTACCTCTAGCAAGACTCTGGAGGGACAGTGTCTAAATGACCTAATTGCATGAACCCCCCCCCCCCCCTTCATACTCACCCCCAGGGCCATCGGCTCCCCCCTGTAGAACTTCTTCAGTGGTCGAGACATAGAAGGTGCTACTTTGACACTTGAGAAGGACTCGAGCATCCCAGGGTTCCTGAGGTCCATGGTGGCTACTGAGAAGACGTCTGTCTACAACCGCAGTCCGTATCCAACCAGATATTCAGAGGCAGAAGCAAGCATGCAGATGGAAGAGACAGAAATCAGAGCAAATCATCACTGTCTGAATAGGAGCTTGTCAAAGGAAGCAACACCCCCGCCCGTTCTAGCTGTGGCTCAAGGGAAGGGCATTTGCTTTTCATGGCCCTGGGTTCAGTCCCTGGCATCTTCAGCTAGAAGGACTCGGCAGCAGGGGACGTGAAAGACCTCCGCCTGGGAGACTGGAAGGCTGCTCCCAGTCTGAGTAGACAGCAGCGACCTTGATGGTCCACGAGTCCGTTTCAGTAGAAGGCAGCTTCACGTGCGTCTGGGCCCCAGCTCCAGGACAGGAACTGGGAGTCTATTTGGGGTCACTGGGGCTAGAAGGTGGGCAAGGTGGGATCATGGTGGCCCCACAGGGATGCTATTTATCCTCACTGGTGGTTGTGGAAAGTGCCATCAAGTCACAGCTGGTTTATGGCAACCCCTGCAGGGTTTTCAAGGCAAGAGATGTTCAGAGGTAGTTTGCCATTGCCTGCCTCTGGGTCAGGACCTGGTTATTCCCTGGTGGTCTCCCATCCAAATACTAGCCAGGGCCGACCCTGCTTAGCTTCTGAGAACTAATGAGATCAAGGTAGCCTGGCCCATCCCGCTCAGGTTATTACTGTGGAATAAATTACTATTACAAGTTAGGTTATACCTATGGAATAAACCCCCTTTGCTCCATGCAAACATTAAATATAGTTGGGAATCCACACTCTGTCCATGAGTACTCTTCCCCTCAATCCTTCTGCCCCCACCCCCCACCTGAGAGCAGAAAACTGATTTAAAAAATCACATGCACGATCACTCCTTTATCTCTGTGTTAATGAACACAGGTTTTTGCCAGGAATCCCCTGGATCAACGGACATATCCTTTGACATTTCCCCCTTACCCTTCAACACCTTTTAAGCAATCCGTCTTTGCAATCAAGCAAGTTGAGAGGTAGGATTGCCAACTGATTCAGGGAATTTATGGAGATGCGGGGGATGGAGCTGGGGACAACGGGGTTTGGGGAGAAGAGGGATCTCAGCCGGGTACAGTGCCATCGAGTTCACCCTTTGAAGCTGCCATTTTCTCCAGGGGAACTGATCTCTGTACTCTGGAGATAAGCTGTAATTCCCAGAGATCTCCAGGCCCTACCTGGAAGCTGGCAACAATGTTTTCCTTGGCCCTTCCACTGCAAGCGTTTAGCTGAAGCTGATCCTCCTCATAAAGACTAAAGGGGGTGGGAGTTACTCTGGACTGACTGACATCGATTCAACAAATGCAATCCTGCCCACGCGGTTCGCTTGCCCTGCAGGTCATTCACAGGAAGTAGTCCGTATTATGCAAACCCCAGTTAAGCAAGAGCTCTGCTTTGTCAGATTCTGTACCTAAATTGCATGGGGGGGGGGGGAGTGGGACTGCAAGCACTTTTCGGATTGGATCCTTTCCTCCCCCAGTCCCTTAAGTCTTTAACCCCTTTCGAAGCAGGCAGAAATTCAACAGGAGCAGCATTTCCCCAGAAGGAGAATCTGCTCCGCCCCTTTTGCCTGCCATTCAGCTGTTTAAGACTGGGGAGCCCACTATCCATTTGTTTATTTTGGATTTTTATTCCACCCTCCCCAAAACGGGCTTGGGGCGGGTCACAAAACAAGCAGAGTCAAAGACTCATTACGATAAAATTACATTACATTAAAATCATTAAACCAGTAAAATTCAAAGGTAGCAGCAAATTACATCAAAGAAGAAGGCTGTTATACAAATTAGGTAAAAAGGACTGTTAGGGTCAGAGGTGGAATCAGAGCATTTCAGTTCATTGGGAACTAAAGCACTTCACTAAGGTGAGAAAGGTGAGTGCGTTTATTCCTGAGCTCCTCTGCACACACTCCAAAGTGTGAGGGATGCCTGTAAAGGAAGCTGGAGCCAGGTGCGGTTCTTGGCGCGGCAGGACACGGAGTCTTCCAAACACGTGTGTTCTGTTCTCATTCACACGTGTACAAAGATTATACTTGCCCAAATGAATCGACCCCGAGGTCTTCCGGTAAACGTGGCAGGAGGGGACTATCCCGGCTGGGCTGGAGCAGAACTGTCGGCGGAGGTTTGTCTCGGATCCGGCTGCCCCGTCCGCAGGTGCCCGAACCCGGACTCCAGCCTTTCAGCCCACCCTTTCGCCCACCGCCTGCGCCGTTCAGATTCGGAGGC